TCAGATGAGGCATATTCAAACCTTATCAGTTCTTAAAAACAGCCAGCAAATGTCTTGTCAACCACAACATCCTGTAGCACTTATAATTTGAGTCATCCCAGAAATCACAGTGAAAGATGGCTTAATTATTGCAAAAATTAATTCTCAGATGCACACCTGCTAAATAAATTAGTTTGTTAAATTATCAGTTTTAACATTTTATAAATTATTATTTGAAAATTTAAAAGAGCTATTGTCATGCAGAATTCACACTGAGTCAAAGGGGAAAACTCTTTATAAATGAATGAATGAAACTTGTATGAGGCCAAGAAATATCTACAGATCTGAAAAACTGTCAGTTCCAAACCACCCCTTTTCCACTTGTGAAATCAGCTAGAATTGTTAGTGAGAATAACTGCAAAAACAAGCATCTGCCTTGGGAACATTTGGAATGTCATACTTTGGTGCATGCTTAAGTCAGAGAAAAGCTATACATTGTGAGTGGTCAGCACAGGATTTTCAAATATTCACATCTTTTTATTTCAAAACATTTTTTTTAAAACAAGCACAAATTTGCATTTCTCATTCAGAGAGGTCAAGGTTTAAAACAAAGCCATTTCTTTGTTACTCGAGCACGAAAACAGATTCTGAAAAAAATTTCAACTGATGAAATATTTCGCTCCTGATTCACACAAACAGTTTACTCAGAACTGAAATATAGGCTTTTATGAAAAAAAAATGTATAAACTCCCTTTTAGGGTGAAACCAAGTATGAGAAATTTAAATACAACAAATATTTTGAGAAATGTAAGTAGGGTGACCAGACAGCAAGTGTGAAAAATTGGGATGGGGGTGGGGGGTAATAAGAGCTTATATAAGAAAAAGACCCCAAAATCAGGACTGTCCCTATAAAAATCAGGGCATCTGGTCACCCTAAATGTAAGTGAACGAAAATAAGGGTTTGATACACGTGTGCCATTTCCACTTTTATTGTGTTGCTACAGTTATACGAGTCCTTTCAAACAAAGATGCTCAGAATATGACTGCGCAACTGAGAGAACTAAAAAAGTAATATTTCATATTTAACTGCGCCATAGGATCCACCTGTCAAGAGTTCAACTGGACTCAACCACATGATATGGGACAGAATCATACTTGTGAAATCTGCAGTCTCAGAAAGCAGAAACCGAAAGTCTACTAACAAATGGTAATAAAGCACGTTGAACATTACCAGCCGACAGATTCCAGTTCTTCAGCTTTCAATTTATAGTATGCACCAAAACTTTGAAATTAAAAGTATGAAGCAAAATGACCCAGATAAATAGAGCCTGGATACCTACTAGATACCAAATCCTCCTTTAGTTTAGCTCAAAAAAATCAACTGCACTGTAAATATTATATAATAAATATTTAAAAACAACAACAAAGCAATGTGTTGAAGATGCCATTGTCAAATAAGTTACAGCAAGCTCCAAGTATAGCTAGTTATCTTAGACATACACCAACAGAGATCAAGTACAAGACACCAGGGCCAAATTATCCACTAGCTTAAACAGGCTGCTTATTCTATTGACTTCAGTTAAGTAATACCCACTTATGCCAAAGGTGAATTTGGCCAACTGTATTTACACAAACTGAAGGATCTTCATATTCATGATTTCATCCATCCACCAACTTATCTGCTCTAATTCCTTCTGCACCCCCTCCCAATATCCACTACCCCTTTCATCTTTTTCCTACCCCTATCCTCTAGTCTTATTCATGCTGTTCCCTTCTCTTGAAGCAGCATCTCAGATTTCATCCACCAAGAGCCTTCTTTTCCCATCCAAATATCACTTTAAACTTGTTTCTTCCAGAAATCCTTGTAAGCTTATTGTCCATTCCAATCATCCCTCCTTACCATCCTTAACCTAACGTGTGGTCCCCAGTTTTTGCCTAGTATTTCTATGGGGCTGATCTGTATTTCCTTAAGAAAAACTTCCTTTGAAGTCAGTTAGAGTTTTGTCTAAGTAAGGAAAAAGTAGTGCACATCAAACCTCTTCACTTCAAGCTCTTCAGGGGCCAGAAAGCAACTTAATCTATATTCCGTGAAGCAGCACTATGCAAAAAGGACAGATCTTGCAAACCCACTTCAGGGGTTTGCGGAATCCAGCTCTAACCGATTATTAAAACAAAACACAGCTTTTTTTTTTTACGTTCATCTATATAATCCAAACCAAGCTGACACTCCTTAATGAGAACTCTGAATTCTTTCATAAACAAACATTTCTTAAGATCAGTTATTATTTCTTTCAGGAACACAAATTAGCATGTTTGCATTTCCAATGCATTATAGAACACTATATAGCAAATATCTATTTCTCAAAATGAGCAGCTTTTCAAAGAGCTACTCATGTTTGTGTATGCAAATATATACATAAATACACTGATGCATGCATTTAGAGAGACACAGATTTTAGCAGACAATGTGTTTATTCCTACAAGGCAGACAACATATAAATGTTTTCAGATCTATCCTTGTGAACAAAACAATAAATCTGGGATTTTCTAAATCAGATGAAAGCGAGGGGGACCAGAAATAATCTAAAAAAACCCTTCCTTTGCATATCACAAACTTTTAGAAATTGGACTTGTAACTTCAAATTCACTTATAAGAGCACTAAGCTTCTTGCATTCCCAATAATTATGTATTCTTAGAGTCTTTTTAAAAGTACTCCAGAAACTAAGCATAATTTGAGTTTACTTTTCTTTATTGACAGGGGGGAAAGAGTACATGTTTGTGGGAGGAGCACTCAAGCTGCTGCCAGTTCTCCAGGTTGCAATTATGTTTTAAATTCAATTTAAATGTGGGTCTGGCTTCTCAAGACTGACAGTAACAATCAAAAGAACTAAAAGGAGATGCCTATATTTCTGCCCCTCTGTTATTAATTTCTATTTCTCTCTCTCTGCAATGCTTTTGGATAATATTGTTTGTATCAAAGAGGCTAAATCAAATAGTATGTATTTCTCTTTGTTAAAAACCTGTCAATAAACACTCATTCCTCCAACCTCAACTTCTTCCCCCCACCATCACTAATGCTCGCTCCTCCCAAATAAAACAAAACAGATGGAAACTTCAAACGAAGTGAACAAAAGAGATTTTTTGTTCCCTCTTTTCTAGAAGATAGCTGGAAGAAGAAAAGATTTTGTGTTCCATCCTGCAACATTTACTCAAGCACAGTGACTTCAATGGGACATGTGAGTAAGGATTACTCATGGGAGCTAGGGCTGCAGGTCTCTAGTAGGTCATCTAGTCCATCCCCCTAACACTATTGAATTATTTCCCTTAGTATGCGTATAGTGGGGCTTTGGATAAAATTGGAGTTAATCATTTTATTTATAAAGAAGCACCCAACACACTCTCTGCCATTGCTCTGGTTAGAGAGAGGGGGAGCTTGTGTGTCATACATTTAAAATGAACTTTAAATGTTGTTATAAAGCTATATGAATTTGTTATTTACAAAGCATCACCCTCACAGCCACTATGTTCAAACATAAGTATCTACACAACTTAACTCCTGTTCTCCTTAAACTCAGAAGTCACACAGACTTCAATGCTTCTACTGGTGTCAGTAAGGGAAGAAGGATTTAAGGAACAGTTGTTACACCATTATGGCCCAATTCTGGGAGGGACCTGGCCTCTTCACAGTTAGTTCTTGTTCCAACTCTCTACCCAGCAACCCACTATTCCTCTCTATATTGCCCGTCCAATCACCGAGGGCCTCAACCACCATTCTAGCCTCTCCGTTGATCCAGCCTCCACTCATCATCCCTTGCTCCCAGACCTACCTTTCCCCTTCAACACTTGCCACAGCCTCCCTTAGAACATCTGTGCCCAGGTCCCGCTCACCTCCAGCACCTACACCTTCTAGTTTTCAGCCCATCTCAGCTCTCTCAACCACACCTGTCCTCACTCCTTGAGCTCTTCCTCCAGCTCCCTGAGCCCCTCCTCCAGTCACATGTACCACTCCGGGGCTGAACCTCACCCTAGCCCCCAAAGGGCAGTAAACTCTCCCTTGGCCTCCATCAGCAGCTTCCCCCCAACCTCACAATGTAGGGGGTGACCCCCCAGCCTCCTTGTCCCCACTTGCTACTGTGGGCATGAAAGCCCCTTTAGCCCCTGCCTGGGGGGCATGTGAACCCCACATGGAGATGAACCCTTTCAGCTCCCCCATCACTCTGGGAATAAACCCGCCTGATCCCCCCCATTGAGCAATGATGCACTTCCCCCTCCAAACTAGGGATTAAATCCATAAGCCCCCCCAGCCTCCCCACAGGGGGGTGAAGCCCCCTCACACCTCACTTCCCAAACTGGGGGTTAACCCCCCAAACCTCTCCTGTACCCAGCCCCCCATGGGGGGTTAGACCCCACCAGCCTCCCCACAGGGGGGTGAAGCCCCCTCACACCTCACCTCCCAAACTGGGGGTAAAACCCCCCAAGCCCCTCCTGTACCCAGCCCCCCATGGGGAGTTAGACCCCACCAGCCTCCCCACAGGGGGGTGAAGCCCCCTCACACCTCACCTCCCAAACTGGGGGTTAAAGCCCCCAAGCCCCTCCTGTACCCAGCCCTCCCACAGGGGGATGAAGCCCCTTCACACCCCACCCCGGGGGGTTAGACGCCCCGTACCCAGCCCCTGCGGGGAGGTGAAGCCCTCCAGACCTCCACCTATATAGGGGGCTCACACCCCCAGTTTGGGGTTGAACCCCTTCTCCCTAGCTCCCCTCGGGGGGGGGTGAAGCCCCCGGGGGGGGGTCAGAGCCCCCCTCCCCCACCAACCCCTTTATTTACCGCCATCATCAGCACGCGCGAGCTGTCACCGAGCGCGAGACACCCCAACCGGGGCCGGCCCCGCCCCCTCCCCGCCCATTGGCCGCCAGCCCCGCCCCGCCCCCCAACGCCATTGGCCGGAAAGCCCGCCACACACTCCATCCTCCCCGCCCTTCGCTAGCGCTGTACGCCCCATTCACCGACACCACTTACGCCATCTCCGCAAGGCTCTCGTGAGCGGCCCTGCGGGGTTCTTCGGCGCTTTACGCCCGTGACCGAGCACAGCGGAAACTTTCCTTTATTTTACGCCATTTACGCTGCCCAGACCGCGAACTTTTTACTAGTGTACGTGAATTGCGCAGGCTTTGCCGATGAATTCTCCGCGGCTTTACGTTGCTCGAGATTTCGAACGCGGGACTAGCTTACGGCGCTTGCGTAGCCGGCCGGGGGCAGGCTCTTCAGTGGCTTAGGGCAATTGCGCTGCGGAATGGGAGGGGGAGAAAGGCGGAGGGGCGGGGACTCCATAGCCCCACCCCGGGACGGTGACGTTGCCGGGCTTTGTGAATCGCAGGCTGAAGTTTGGTTGAGTCACACGAGGGTAAATAAGGATGTTTCAGAGACAAAGAGACTCTTAAAGGGGCAGGAGCGCCTTGTGCGGCACCCCCCCGCGCTCAGAGGGGCCCAGGCTGCAGGGAGCTGAACTCCCCTCCCCCTCACTGCAGCAGCACAGGGGCCAAGCTGGGGCCATGGCCACATCAGGCATGCCACCATGCATGGGCCAGGTCCCACACCACCATTGCACGGGGACATATCACATCCAACACCACCAGTGCATGGGGACACTGCCACGGGGCCGGCTCAGGTGGTGCCGATTGCACGGGGCCACAGCAGGCACCACCATTGCATGGGGACATGGCCATGTCAGGCAGGGCCACTGCTACAGGACCACATCTGGCCCCATCATTGCACAGGAACATTGCCATGGGGTCACATAATCCGCTGCCTCACCACACAGGCCACCACCACTGCCCAGGTCACTGCCGTGGGGCATGGAAGCTGTGTGGTACAGTGCAGTGGTGTGTGAGACAGGGACATTTTCTATTGTTAGTACCTACCTAGGTAGCCTCAGCCTTGAAGAAGGCAGAACCATTCCAACAGAAATCCAGACTCTCCTGGCACTGGATCCCAAACAATCACAGAGCACTTCACAAACACACACAAAAACCGAAGGAGAGGTCATCTAAATTGCCTTTGGAAATTAACAGCCAAGGAGCACTGAGCCTCTTTGTCTATTAACAGCCTCCCTTTCCTCATTAAAATCTCCCCTTAACACTCACTTCTTCCAGGAATCTTTCAAACTTTTTTCATACCATCACCTTTGGCTCATTTCTGGTCTATTTTAGGCCCTGGTCCTAAACAGAGAACCATCCTGGTACTTGGACTTCAATTGGATTTTCCCCATAGAGTGTACCCTTAGACTATGAACTCCTGCAGCCAAATTCAGCCTTGGTGTAATTCCTTTAACATCAAAAGGAGTTAAACCAAGGGCCCTTGGTAAGTAAGTTGCCCCATCTCAAAAAAGATATATTGGAATTGGAAAAGATTTAGAAAAGGGCAACAAAAATGATATGGAATGGCTTCTGTATGAGGAGAGATTAATAAGTCTGGAACTTTTTAGCTTGGAAAAGAGACGACTTGTTGCCCTTTTCCAATTCCAATATATCTTTTTTGAGATGGGGCAACCTCATCTGCATGCAGTATTCCAGATGTGGGCATACCATGGATTTATATAGAGGCAATGTAATATTTTCTGTTTTATTATCTATCCCTTTCTTAAGGATTTCCAACATTCAGTTTGCTTTTTTGACTGCCGCTGCACATTGAATGGATGTTTTCAGAGAACTATCTACAGTGACTCCAAGATCTCTTTCTTGAGTGGTAACAGCTAATTTAGACCCCATCATTTTATATGTATAATTGGGATTATATTTCCTAATGTGCATTATTTTACATTTATCCACATTGAATTTCATCTGCCATTTTATTGTGCAGTCACCCAGCTTTGAGAGATCCTTGTGTAGCTCTTCGCAGTCTGCCTGGGATTTAACTATCTTGAGTAGTTTTGTATCAGTAGGAATAGGCTCAGTGTGCTATTGGCTCCCTACCTGAAGCCACAATTGAGTCAGGAGACAGAGTCTGTTCCTGTCTCTGCGACTGAATTGCAGTATGACCCTACCTAAAGTCATTTAACCTCTTTATGTTTCAGTTTCCTCAGTGGTAAAAGCAGGATAATAATACGTATCTCCCTTCAAAAAGCACTGAAATCTGCAGCTGATTGTTGTTATGTAGAGCCCAATCCTGCTCCCCTTGAAATCAGTGGCAAAGACTCCCACTGACTTCCAGAGGAGCAGAGGCAAGCCTCAAGTTGGTGCACAGGAGAGCCTCCCTCTCAAAATTGTATGTGCACTCTGAAAATGCTGCAAAGTCGCAGGGAAATCTAACCTCCCAGGCCCTGTAGTGACAGGCAAAAATGGTGCAATTTTCAACTGTGTTGGCTCAATAAAGTTAACATGACATGACCACAAACTTAACACTCAGTCAGAGGCAGACTACCACTGTTTGAAGCCAAGTCAGCTGGCAATAGTATAGCCTTGGTGGGAGGGGAGAAGGGATAATAATTTTGCCCATCAAAACAGGGGTCCCAGAGAGCAAAAGAAATGCCTTTTGCATGAAGCAGTCAGTCAATCCCCTACTTTAGAGAAGGCAGTCACATCAATGGATGCCTTTACTAAGAGATAATGGGCCTAGATCCTATCCTCACACCCATGCAACCCCACTGGCGTCACTGGAGTGGTACAGATGTGATTAAGAACAGAATTTAGCCCAAGGGGTCCAGGGCTGTGACTGCAGAACAGTAACCGGCCTTCAGAAGAGAACAAACACCAATGAGATCTAGCACACATATTATACTCTTTAAAGACATGTGACTTTGGTTACAAAAGGCATCTGAGATACCACAACCTTTTTTGGATTAAGAGAGACATTTGCAACATGTGATGTGCCTAATCTTCCAGTCACAATTCCACAGCACTTTTTTTTATTAAAGAAAGCAGGATGAAGATGATCTGTCCAAAGAGCAGAATTTTTTGGTTAAAGATCCTAGACCCACTTAATTACACAGAGTAATAATGAGCTAAGGGCCACATTCTGAAAGCTTTACTCACAAGACTCTCCCCAGACGTCAGCGTGAGAGTCAGGGTTTAGTGAGTAACATGCCTTTGAGTTGCAAGACTGGACCCCAAACTCGTTCCCCAGGCTTCCAATATGTTCAAATTGCAAGTTTATTTAAACACTGTTTGTTGCAAATCATTTAACCAGGGCTTATGAGACCTACTGCCATGTTATTGAATGTATTCAGAGTTAAATAATAATAAAAAAATGCCCATACAACAAGCTCTAGGTGCCGTAACAATTAATTACACTTACAGGCATAAATGATGGCCCCCCTTCAGCGGGGAAAAACAAACAAACAAACAAACAAACCCATCACCATCATATATAAATAATGAATTAATCAACTCAGTCAACCAGTAAATCAAAGCAACAAAACAGCTCGTCTCTCTCCAATCCTCCAGAAACATCTCTTCAATCTTCTTCCCCAGACCCTGTCCGATTGCAGCTTGCCTGGAAGATCAGGTTTATTTAGGTCCAAGACTTCTGTTTTGCCCAGTTTACTTTTTAGACACAGGGTTGCAGTGCAAGTTCCATCTATGGGCTAGGGATGCAGAACATGTTTTTTAAGGAAGCCATGCACTGGTCCCTCAGGTTACTTGCTCAAACTGGTGTGACATAAGGCATGAGTTAAGGACTGACAACCCTGCAAAGCCTCTGGCCATGGAACTCCCACCGACTTCAATGGGAGTTCAGCAGGAGGAGTGGCTGCAGGGCCAGGATAGTTCTGCTCATTTGAAAGATGCAGAATTCTGAAATTAAGCAGAGAAGATCCTTGCCTAGCAGCTATTTACTTGTGAAGTTCCTTGGGAAGGCGTTTCAGGGGAAGCGACACAAAGGTCTTGCAGCTGCAGAACCAAGGTAAACAGCCAGGCTGCTATCTATTTAGCAAACAACACAAAACCACAGAAAAATATAAAGAGGAGAGAGGAAATTTACATTCCCCAGCCAGGCAGCTCCTCAGTGTTTAGAGCCAAGGGCACAGATGGCTTAAAGGGAGGGAATTTCCCTAGCTTTCCATCCAGATAAGTAAATCATTGCTGTATGATATTCAAGCCCTGCAGTAAATCTACAGTCTCCCGCTTGCAAACCCTTACTCACCTTAATAGTCCCACTGAAATCAATGGGACTTCGCAGGTGAGTAGAGATTTAAAGCAAAGAGACCTCTATCAATGTTATCAGTTCCCTTTCTAACCATGAGATAGGGTGGCAGATACTTTGTTTCAACAGATGAGAAGAATCCTTCAGGAAGACCAGACTCCATTTGTATCATTGGAAAGCCAGAAGGTTTTAATCCGCTATCAAAGATGATGGCAAGTTAAGAACATAACCACAAGGGGACAGCAAAGAATTGAGAGAGATTTTTGGTCACAAAAGGAAATTAATTTTCCATTGAGGGTGTAAAGCCCCTCAACAAAATCAAAGATAAACGTGGCTAAGAAATAACTTCTGCACCAGAGAAAAATTAAAGAAATTTGTTACAAAACACACACACACATCCCCCTTGCTGGATAAAAAGACTCCACATCTTTATATGAAAATAAGCCTTTTTTTAATTATTATTAAAGTGGTACCAAAATGCTTCCATATGAATATCCCCAAAACCTACATTCACCAGCCTGCCACTAAGGAAAATGAGGGACAATAAAACCCTGCCTGTGTGCGCACACAGCTGGATTTTCTACTTTATCCTTCTGCAGAAGAACATTTATCACCAGAATCAAGCACTGATGTTGCATTGAGACACACCAGCGCCAATGGGCTAACCACTGAATAAGGGATGAAACACACACTATATTTGAGACCAAGCTTGGAGGTAGGAAAAACTGATTCTACCCCTGCTATATGGAGATGAATGATGTTTTTCTTTAGGGGGAAGACATCTTCAGGACATTACTGAGCAAAGGGCTGGTATTCCCGATCCATGAGGACAATCAGAAAAAAAGAGGATATTGTCACTTTAAAAAGAAAAAAAAGTCCCCTGAAGTCTTCTTCATCTGATCCCAGCTACAGGCACCTGCTGCTGTTTGCGGATCTTGTTGAACAGTTCCATGTACTGAGCCATTGTGTCACCTGGGCTGTAGATGTTGTCGTGCTTGTTGCCAAACACGGATGGGTTTCCAGGAGTGTGATTCCCCATGAAGCTTTGCATGAACTCCATGAGCAGGTTCCAGCAGTCGTTGGCTACCACACATGGGCAGTATTCCACCTGGCAACAGAAACAGGAGCACTGAAGCACGGAGCAGGGGACGGTAACCACACAGGAGACAATTAAC